CGGCCGCTCTCGGCCGCCGTAGTTAGATTAACTTACAAACGTTTTTTTTTCCCTGAATCCTAAAATACTTGCCCTTTTTCCACCCTAGGGGGACTATGTGTGGTTGGACCTTAAGACAGGTCGCGAGTTTGACGTCCCTGTGGGAGCTGTGGTGAAACTCTGCGACTCTGGACAGATCCAGGTTCTGGACGATGAAGGCCGGGTGAGTTCCCATCCCAGGAGAAGAAGAAATCTACTGAGAAAATGTGTAATTTTAAGCACATGACGGCCAATCATTTTCCTATTTAATTAAAACTTAAACTAAATAAATAAACTGATAAATAAATAAAAACAGACAAAAACTATTAATTTAAGGCTACACTGGAAAAACATTGAAATCTAGTTAAGTCATTTTTTCTTCAAATAAGTGCAGTTGTTCTTGTATTAAGGAGGTATGTAAGATACTTTGCCAATGGTACAAGACAATTTACATTTAAAATAAGAAAAAACACAATTACATTGTCTTCTTTCAAGTGCTTATTATCTAATTATCTTATTTTAAGAGTAATAATACTCATTACATTGGCAAATCATCTTATTTACCTACTGAAGTTAAGAAATGTTGACTTATATTTAGATGGTTTTTGCAGCGTAAACCTGGCGGCCCAGTGGTTTGGGGCATAGAGCTTGGAATCCTGAAGTTCTGAGTTTGAGCCCCACTTCCACAGAATGCACATTTGAGTCCCTGAGCAAGACCCTTAACCCCACGCTGCTCCCCGGGCGCCACACAATGCCCGCCCACTGCTCCCCAAAGGGGATGGGTTAAATGCAGAGAGGGAATTTCGTTGCTCTGTACTTGTGACAGCATGAAGACTATAAAAACCTAAAAAAAAGGTTCTATAAGTTGTAATTTAACTCTGTATAGACTTTAATTTAAAAGTAAACAGGAGCTGTAATTTAAGTTCTTCTTAAAATGTAAATTCTCTGCTGAATGATTCCCTGTTTCTCTTTACCTGAACAGGAACATTGGATCTTTCCTCAGAATGCCACCAACATCAAACCAATGCACCCAACCTCTGTCCACGGCGTAGAGGACATGATCCGACTGGGCGACCTTAACGAAGCCGGCATCCTCCGCAACCTTCTCATCCGCTACAACGAACATGTCATCTATGTTAGTCAGACATCACTTTCCAAACAAAAACATTTGCAAAGTCCTAAAGTTTTGTAGGTTTCTGCAACCCTAAGGGTTGTTCTTACCTGTTAGTTTTTTTGCTGTTGTTTTTATAACAGATAGTCGAAAGGGAGCTTTCGACTAGCTGTTATTTAAAGGCATACTATGCAACATTTTTCATTTAATTAATGTGTTCCATAACGTTTTGGATGATTAAATGAGTCATTTCAGGTTGAACAAAGGT